TTATTCGTCTATGTGTGCCCTGCGATTGGCTGGCAACTGGTTCAGGGTCCAGGAAGTTCTTGTTTCCGCATCACTTTCTGTTTTCTTCTTCCCACCGCCTGAGCGCCAATTTATTCCCGCATCACCCCGAACCATTTTTTCACTGCGGTGCTCAATAATAACAATCTAAGCTCTGGGTGGAATGATAAAAATGAATTGTTTCAATTTTGCAGAAAGTCCAACTGTCTTGTGGCGCTTGCTCCATATCTTCCGGATAAACATAAGAGCCCCACTGATCTTCTCATCTAAATCTCGGCAGGACATCAGGTAAGCACATTTCCATAAAAGGTCAAACTATTACATCAGACTGCTTCAGACGGATTGCACGCAGATCGTTGAAAAAACACACACAGGCGCCTGCCCTCATCAAAAAAATTCTGATCATTATATGCAGTCAGGTTTGGTGGATATTTGCATGATCCTACACAAGAGAACGACTCCAACTTGTCATGCATAAACACCTCGAGACATCCTGTTTGTCTCTGGACCCCCCCTCATCCTAAGTGAGTCTAAACAAGTAATTCCACGTGAAGCGCACTGGAGGAGAGTGGATCAATGCGTCCATGTGTGTGTACCGCATACACTGTATGTAGAGTATATATTCTATGTCTGAGTTGCCGTGGGCCTGTAATTGTCTAAAAACTACAGCATGTGCAAAAAAAAACTAGAAAAAAAACCCCCAAAACAAACTACAAAATACTGTGAAGGACTCCTTCAGGCTTTAACATGACAGTGCGGTGGTAACTACATTAAGTGCAGCGCCCACCTGATTTTTGTCATATTTTTCCAGAATGTTGATTCATTTGGCTAAATGGAACTTTTTTTTTTTTTCAAAATTAAGATTGTGATCTTGGTTCAGCTACAGCCCTAAAACTTTTAGCCAGCTCTATACTGCATTTATCTTTTCAATTTTGTAAATCCGATCATATTGCTGTCCAAAAATGTCATATGAGTGCCAAAGTCACATAATTCATGCAATGTTGTTTTTGCCACGATTTCTTCAAATTTGAAGAGACGTCGCGGATGTAACTACCATCATGCCGCTGTCCGACGATAAGCATTTTCTAAAACATGAAGCCAATTTTGTATAACTCACAAAATCTGAAGTGACATGTATTTCACTGCTCCAACATTTTATTCCTAAATACCTTTGGGGCACAAATAATTATTCTTTGTGAATTTCGCGACATGGACAGGATAACTGCAAATTTGAAGAGACGTCGCGGATGTAACTACCATCATGCCGCTGTCCGACGATAAGCATTTTCTAAAACATGAAGCCAATTTTGTATAACTCACAAAATCTGAAGTGACATGTATTTCACTGCTCCAACATTTTATTCCTAAATACCTTTGGGGCACAAATAATTATTCTTTGTGAATTTCGCGACATGGACAGGATAACTGAAAGAAAAGGAGCATATAAAAAGAATATTTTCTACATCCAGGAGCTCCTCTTAAAAGTATTACTAACTTTTGTTGAAATGAGGGATTATTCGGGGGACAGTAGATAGGCGTAGGAATCACCAAAATCATATCAACACTAACACCATGGATTAAAACAAAAATACTTCAGAGTCGGGCGGCACAGTGGTCGACTGGTTAACACGCTGGCCTCACGTTGCGGCGGCGCAGCATTCGATTCCAGCGCCGGCCTTCCTGTGTGGAGTTCGCATGTCTAACCGTGCCTGCGTGGGTTTTCTCCGGGTGCTCCGGTTTCCTCCCACAATCCGAAAACATGGATGGCAGGTTAATGAAACACTCTAAATTGTCCCTCGGAGTGAGTGTGAGTTCAGGGTGTCCCCCGCCTACTGCCCGAAGACAGCTCAGATAAGCTCCAGCATCCGCCGCCATCCTTGTGAGGATCAGCGGATGAGAAAATGGATGGATGGATGCGTATGGGTCCCCTGAAGTTTCTTTAACATACCTCACGTTTGATTATTTAATACCAAACAAAATACTCGTATTAATAACAAAAGTGAACTATCATTTTAGGAATAATCAGTGATGTGATATACAGCAGATCCTCACAAAAACTCAATATCAGCTGCTTTCCGTTGCATCGCTCCAATCGCTGGTCGAGCCACATCAAGCCGAGTAAGTATCAGGCATTGGCAACATTTGGACAGATGTAATCAAATACAGCCCCTAAATTGTGGCGAAGCTATTAGAAGGGAGTACAGTATTGTGCTTTTGGTGCCCTTCTATGTCTCCTTTCACAGAACACCGCTACAATGATGTCACAGTCATCGCCTCGGTCAGTATGAGTGATGTTGACAGAAAGTTAATCGAGATGATTAAAAATAAAAACACGTGGCTCCGTAAGACCGTCAACTCAGCTGCAGTCAAGCGATTTCAACAGCTGATTCTAAACAAAATGTGAGGATGAGCGCAAACGTGGACGGTTCCCTTTCTTAGAGGAATGTACAAAACACTGCGATGACATCTGCCAGTGATTACGCGCAGATGGAAAAAAATGGGGGGTACAGGTATGTTTTTGTACACTAAAACAGTTTGACATGTGCAAAAATGAGTCATTGACAACCCAGATTGCGATGTCTCCATGACGATCGTGATGTCATGCCAAATAACGAAATCACAGAGACACGGGCATGCGCTCATTAAATTTTAAAAATGGTCCCACACATACCACTAAGAGCTTCCTCTAGAGCCCCCTGGGAGCCTGTCACATCCTGACAGACAGCTTGATGTGATTTATGTTGCCCACCAGTGGAAGCTTCGCTATTGATCCACCGGCTATTGATCGGATAGTTTAAGGGGGCGACATGCACATAAACAGACTGTAATAAGTAAAACATAAATCACTCGGATTGATGGGCTCCGCTGCGTGGCCATCGCAGCTCCAGGCTGGTGCGCATGTGTGCGAGTCCAATCAATGAGGGGATAAAACCAAACACACAGATGAGAAATGAACTCACGGCTCCAGGAGAGGAATTTTCACTCCCAGATGATTTCGATCTCCAGGCACATGTGGCAAGTTAAAAATAACTTGCTCAGACAACAAGGCTTTAACCTTGGAGATCACGGGCGGAAACGTGTTTGCGCAGATGACCTTTCATCTCGTGACTTCCTGACTGGACGAAGAGCGCTCATGTTTGAGCTTTTGATGGGATTTCCTCTGTCAGAGACCAAACAGTCCAGAATGTACAGGAAATGCAGGACAAAAAAAAAGATCTGGCTGTCATCAGATTTACCTCTGTCCAAAATTGGCAGACAGGAGGGGGGGGTCACAATTCCTTTCACACCTATTTAAATCTGCGTACCACTCTGAAACTGTAAACAGCCATTCATTCAGCTTTGGAGAACTCTCCAAACCGAAACAATGGCTGGAGGGTGAAATGAGGGGAGCGACTTTATGTTTATTGTTGCAATTCCAAACAAAGACAGATATTCCAAATATAACCCTGTACAGATTTTCAGTTTAATCGAGACAAAGTAAAACCGAAATAGGAATATAATTCAAGCGTGAGGGGGATAATACGAGAATTACTGCAGGAACGCCGGGTGAGGGAGCATCAGCGGGCGAGGCCAACTTTGTCCAAAAGTGATGAGCACATCGTTTTAACTGTTGTCCTCTTTCGCTATGTGACTTCAAACTGATGTGTGTCCAAATAATCAATTGTTATTTAAAATTTAAATAATAAAAACATAAATAAACTGCAAATAAATTGACCAATTATAGAGGATTCACTGTATGAATCCATTAAATTGTAGTTAGCACGTTTCATACACAACACAGAGTACGTTACAGAAATGAAAACAAAAAATTAAAATAACAAGAAATATACAAAAAAAAACAGAACACGCCACCCATCATATGAACACAAACCCACCAATACCAAAGTGCTTGTTGAAAAAAGTTTTTAAAAAAATTAAAATGATTTTTTTAAAGTGTATTTATTAGATTTTTTTAATGACTTGAGAATCAAAAGCATTGCAATGCAATGCTTTGAGTAACAATTTAACGTTTTTACCTGTCACACAGGTCTAAAAATACGTTTATGCTGAGGGCTGTATTTTCTTGATTGGCGTAAATCCTGCATCGCGCTGCCAATGTTGATAAATTCGCAGTCAAGGACAAGCTCTGCAAATCAGCGAGAGGGAGGGCTGCGCCACTGTGGGAGTCGTCACAGCCGTCTTCAATCACAGCCAATCAAAGTGGCTCCTTTCAGTCCCTTTAAATACTGCGCACTAGTCCTGCACTAGAGACTTGACATAGGCAGAGGCACAGCCGTGCCGTGAAGTGGGCACTTGGAGACTGACCTCACACCCCCGAAAATGTGTGTGCCCCCATCTAGAGCAGTGTCGTACAGCGCAATGATTAAAAAAATATATATATAATACAGATGTTCCAAGGGTCATGCCTGATGTACACATACTAACGAATGAACTACATCTCGTTAGACCAGCGGTACCATGAATGACAAAGGCATAACGTGTTGGTGAGTGGAAAACAAATCTCTTGTCGAAAAGCCCAAATTCCTCCATTTTTCTCTAATCCCATCAGATTAGTTTTGTACGAATGCCTCCAAATTCTGGTGAGAACCGGCACCATTGGATATGTTTGACAAAATACATAATCGGTATTTTCTCTTGAAGTGAACTCCCATAAACAAGACCGCACGAACGCTAAACCTCACAAGGAAATTGGCGATTCAAGATTCTTTGTATTGTCAACGTAATAATGCTAACAATAATAGGCTCACGTTTTGTTATTATCTGCCACTTTTGTATCAGCCTCAAGCCAAAAATGGCAAAGACTGCGTTAGTATGCGAGGAGGAGTTGTTATTTTTCCCTCCCGCATTTGTTTGCGTTACTCAGATAAATTTCACCCATCTTTCAGGGACATTACAGTGGACATCTTATCATATGATCAGGTTATCATTATTGGTGCATTAATATCCTATGTATCGTTTCTTACCGTTGTATCCGTCGTTGTTGACGTCTCCCAGCGGTGCTATGGCTGTGCCGAAGCGGCCAAAAGTGTACGTGCCAGTGAGGGCGACGGGTTTATAGAAGGTAAGCGGGGCTTTCTGCAGGTACAAGTAGACCCTCCCAACTTCTTTGGGTTTGCTCTCCATTTCCCTCTCCATGTAGAGGGGTGCTCCGACCAGAACATCATCCATCCTGAATGCGCAAGTTGGATTTAAGATAAATACAATACGTACATGTGATCCATGCAAATACGATGGTCAACCTACCCATCTCCGTTCAGGTCGGTTACAGCCACTGAGTAGCCAAAATAAGAGGCCATCTGAAGGACAGAGCATTGAAGAATATACGTCATGAAGGTATGTCACATCTAGGTATCTTAATATGGGGAAAAGGATGGGGCAGGTAGGTAGGCTACATCTCAGATAAAGGTCCTACTTTCGAAAAAGCTTTTTAAATTCTATTTTTTTTCCCCAACGGCAAGGTTATTAATTGCTCATAAAAGAAAAAAACAACCTCATCCAGAATTCGTCCTGGTCATGACAAACACTGATCAGCCTCTTGTTGGGAATTTTCAAAGTTGAAAACTTTAGATGTGAAAAACAATGGCGGTAGAACATTCGAGAGCAAGGAAACACATTTGGCAACTTCAAACTTTCATCGAAATGGACACCCATCTCAATATAAAGCAGAAGAACAATGGGATTCCTCCATGCCAAAACAAGATTTGTGGGGTTTGCTTTCCCCGTGCTTGCATAGCTTTTTGCCGAGCTACGACATTTCAATAACAAGCACGTTAGGTTAAATGAAGACTAAATTATCCATAAGTGTGAATAAAAGTGTGCATTGTTGTATTGTCCACATGTGCCCGGCGACTGAATGGCAACTAGTCCAGGGAGTACCGACAGTTTTTTTTGGCTCCAATTAACCATGACATGAACAAGCTCAGCGGAAATAGGATGGCCGTATATTTATTTTAGTAAAAACAATCATGCATAATATTCTTGGGTTACATCTTTTAATTTCTAGTGCACCACTCAAGGAATCTGGAAAACTAGAGGTTAGGTCAATAACTGTGTAATCTTGATTTCTGTTGATCAACTGAATAACTTGAATTGATATATTCACCAATAATTCTCAGAAATTCACGAGAAAAGTGTTCACTTTGAATACTTCATGAGTTCTTCCAGCTCAACATCCTATGGGAAGTTCTGGGGAAATTTAACAGACGTTTTGAAGTTTATTTATACGCATCAGTTCAAAAACCACGGCGAATTTACATCGAAAACACAGAGGCGCAATTTAAAGCCAGATGACTTTGCATTTGGAAATGCGTGATGCCTTCATCATGACCGGAACGGGCTGCTGTCCCTACCTGTTCTCCCGTGAAATTCTGGATGAAGGTCAGGTTGGTGGAGTTGATCATCACAACCTAAAAAGAAGCAGAGGGACCACTCCTGATGACTCAGCACGTTTTGGCCTTTTCCGCACAGCAAACCAGACAAACAAAACAATACAAACACAAAAAGAAAAAAAAAAAAAAAGACAACGCACACCACAAAGCTTAAATGGCTTTTTTATGCCGCCCTCCCCCATGACAGTCCTTCGTGTTCCCCTTCTACCCCCATTCTCACCCCCTCCTTCCCCCAAAAGTAACCCTGCTTGTGGGGAGAGATGGAGGGGGAGGCTGAGAATTCCTTCATAAGACCTAAAATAACAACCACATGGGGACAGCCAGGGGGGCTTAACACACACACACACACACACACACACACACACACACACACACACACACACACACACACACACACACACGGGAGGATACTGCTCGACCCACTCGCAGATGTTGCAAAGACACACTAACCCGGGATTGATTTACAAACAGAAAGACAGATGAAGACACACACAAATATCAGATTCTTAACGTTAAATGCTAACTTTTCCCAACGGGATGGTTGTCTGGGACATGAAAACAACCATCCTGCATCCCCGTTTACGCTCATTATAAACCAATGTAACATTTTCTCCCAGCCCTCACACGCACAGTGTTGCAGTGTGTGTGTGTGTGTGTGTGTGTGTGTGTGTGTGTGTGTGTGTGTGTGTGTGTGTGTGTACTCTGAATGCACTGTGATTGCAGGTTAATGCGAGGGGGGTCGTGGTGGTGAAGGCGGGTTGGTGGGGTGACGCGGGGTCAGCGCCCTCCACATACGGCGGAAGCAGTGTGTCATTAGGGAGGACGGATGCAGTCAGCCCCGGGGACAAGTTCCCATAAGAGCGCACACCAGTTAAAGCGTCAGAGCGAGCAATGCGGCCGCACGAAGGGCACTCTAAGACTGGGGTTTCTTCACGGCCAGGCTCGTGCTTCTTTCCGATTTGACATGCCAGCTTTGGAAATGGCGACGATGCTTTATGTCGAAAATTGGTGAACCGCAACCATCCGCCAGAGTCCATGTATTGTCCCCCAGCCTTGACAAAAAGACAGACTCCTCATGTTGTTGTTGTCATGAGGATAGTGGTGGAGGCGGTGGAGGAGCAGGGTGCCTTGTAACACGCTGAAATGACTGTGGTCAAATCTGGAAACGGTTTCCCCATCCGTTTGTCACAGAGTCGAACCAGTGGCGTAGCACGGGTTGCAGGCGCCAGGGTGAGTCAAGTATTTGTGCCCCCTAAACCCTTTTTGCACTCCATCCATCCATGATCTGAACGGCTTTATCCTCATGAGGGTTGTGGGAGTGCTGGATTCTATCCCAGCCGACTTTGGCCAATAGGGGGGGTATACCCTGAGCTGGTTGCAGGCCAATTGTGGGCCAAACATAAACGAACAACAATTCGAACTCACAGTTACACCTTTAGACAATTTAGAGTGTTCCATTAATCTGCCATGCATGTTTTTGGAATGTGGGAAGAAACCAGAGTACCTGGTGAAAAGCCACACAGGCACGGGGAGAACATGCAAACTCCACGCAGGAAAACCGGGGCCTGGAGTCGAACCGTGAGCTCTGGACAAGTTTTACACTCCTCTGTTATATTGATATTGTAGTCTGTTGAGGGTGTATTTTTCCCAATGTGCACATTATAATGACTAGATCTTGTAAATGTCAATATTATAGAAAATATCATTTCTTGTAATTACTGCATTTTTTTCCAGATTGTACTCCACAATTCTCACACACCCTCTATTAATTTCGATCAATTTGCAACACTGAGAATTTAGTCGTGGTCCATACAATAATACTATATTGAATAGATGACACTAATTTGTTATAATTTCATTCAAAATAATATACTGTAGTCATCTCATGCACTAAAGCTCACAGCACTGAGATGATTACAAAAAAAATGTTTTTAGCACTTCATGTCTGTGGAGCGCATTGCAGCGAGACTCCCCCGCGCTACCTCCCTGAGGGGGTTTGCACATGAGTTCAAGGGTCATTTAAAGGCACTGAGGCCACTTTGATCGTAAAGGTTCTCAAATTATTGTATGATTTCCTCCCAAATCCTGGCAAAAACACACCAACCTCAAGTACATTTTGCATTCCTGTGTCCATACTCACGTATCCAAAGTTTTGTGCTCCTCTTGGTACTCCGGCGAGGAGCTCTGAAAAAATTCCAAAACGGGGCCTGAATTAGCACACATTTGGGAAAGACTTACAATCAAAGACGGGGCTTGACAGGGGTTTGTCAAATGATTTCAACTCTAAACAGTGCACCGACTGTGAGAAAAGAGGAGTTGACAATACGTTGAATGATCGGCTGTAGTCCTAGTGACTGACGACTGCGCCGCAATTACCAGCTCGGGGAGATCACAGACAGCTTTCCTGTCGTCCTGCTCTTCCCTATAACCACAAGGCCATAAACTTCCCAGCCCCGTTAGAACTTTGTTACGATCAATTCGTCGTCGTGAAAAAGACTCACAAGACCACAGTGAGCTTCTCACCAAAGCACTTGCATCGAAATGTAACTTTTAAAACTGTTTAACATATGTTGTGCTGGAGGGCCTTTGAGTGGGGAATTGGGGGTTCATAAAAGCCAGCTCATTCAGTAAAAAAAAAAAAAAAAAAAAAAAAAAAATCCCACTAAATGGTGATTAGCAAAGAGGCGCCAATAGATAGGACGTATAAAATGGAGGCAATGACATTGGTGGAAATGTCCAAAAAGGAAGCACTAAAAAACACAACTTTTTGTCAACGATCCAACTTTCTTTTGGTCTTTAATGACGGTCCCTGGGTGTAATACTGAATGAGAGATGCAATTTTGTCAATGTTAAATCGATAATGAGCTTCTGGAGCGATCCCATGTCTCCACGGAAAAATAAGATGACATTTAATACTATGCAGATGCACTGTGCGTGCTTATATCACAAGGTAAGATTGCACACTTTAAATCATCGGGGTGCTGCTGTTTTGGTCAGCAATTGAGTATGTAACAGAGGTTAAATTGGTGGATCGGTTTACTATCCAATGCCCGCATGTAGCATCTATATACACTGAGATCATTTCATTTACTTTTGAGAGGTATTTATTTCATGGAGATGTTTCCCTCAAGTGTCATTATTTTTTTTCTACCAAAATTTTCATTTTTTAAGAAACCCAGATGATACGCCCATTTTCCTTTCGGATGAAATCCTACTAAATCCATCCAACATAGGCTCATTAGTCATTTTGTTCAAGTCCAGAAGAAACACGAAACCTGCAGAGGTCTGCGGAGTCTGACGCTAATCATTCTAATCAGTCAAAGTGGAACTCAGGAAATCCCGTTATCAGTAATTCCCAAAGACGTGTCCCCCTCGGGGGGTCGCGACCCAGACATTCAGAGACAGTTCTCATTATTGCCTGGAAGTTCAGAGCTGCACGTTGTCACCCAGCTGTGCGCTCGCTCCCTTTGGGTCACCCGATCACACGCCACAGTGATGTTAGCGTCTCAAGTGCCAAAGAGACAAGTTGTAGTTGTTGATGCTGCATGTGTTCTTGGTTTCTCACCTTGTTCCGAATCACCGGTGAACTCCCCCACTGCTACAGAGTAACCTAGGAGGAAAGATCATTTGCTCATTAAGACACGTCTACTACATTCGGGAAACATTTAAAAACGACATTGTGAAATCGAACAGAAAACAATGGTGCCGGTAGCTGGCGACGTCATTTTTGAGAAACAAAGAAACACGTTTAAAAGCATATTGTCAATACGCTTTGTCTGCATACATTTTAGTTAAAAATATTGATAGGTGTAAGTGATGTGTCTTCATCGGTGGCACTAGTAGCGTAGTAAATGTCCTTAGTGGAGAACTGCTATAAATGTAACTCACACAGTGGTCCGCCATCGCAATGCAAAATGAGTTTAGTTGGACTGGCACCCCTGCCTTGGTCTTAAAAACGGGCACATCTTCATTGTTTGTAAATTTGGTATAAGGTTCCTGCAAATTTGGTCATAAAAAGTAGACAACATTTTCGACGACCTAGAATCATTCCTAGCTCTGTGCACAGGTGGCGTAATGCAGTTTTGGTGTATTTGGTGGAGGCTCAGGCAGACAGTTTCAGAACTCTGTGGGGCATGTATGGTCGATGAAGTCTGAAACCTTGAGGAAGAAAGAGGACAATCAAAATACATGAAGCTCGCAACTCAAGGTGCTTGGACGAGGTGGAATCTCCTCAAAAGAACAACTGTTGCACGTCGTTTTCTGCTCCGAACAGCATATGAGACCTTGATGGAGGACCCACTGTGAAGGTTTGTTTTGTGGCTGAAAAGGGACAATGGAGCACATGCTTTTAGGATGGAAGATCGTACTGACATAGCGGAGATTTAGGTAGCACTATGGCAAGCTGTTAGCGATACTCACAGACATGCTGGAGCAAGAAATGAGGAAAAAGAAACCCAGCCAAAGCAAGGCCACTGCTAAACACCATTGCCTTGGTGAAAGCGGGCTAAAGCCATGGTGTCCACCTCCTGCAGCCCAAGGGATGAGAAATGGAGGAAGACCTCAGAAGGAAACTACACTTCCCATCGTCGGGACTGTCCTCAACCCTATGAGCAGACATCATCATGTAGTCCGCAGAGGGAAATAAAATAATCCCGAGAGGAGGTTGGGAAGAAGCTGCAGAGAAGAAAAAAAAGGCTAAATTCCACAAAAGATTACTGGGACAAGGGGTGGAAAATGTGGTTGATGGTCGTCAGAATTTGAGGATTCCCAGCTCAATCTGGATGAAATCCAGTGACAAAGGTTGGATGGAGAGGCCACTTGAGGAAAGCAAATGTTCGGAGGCGGAGAGAAAAATCAGACAAAGCCCCGTGTTGGCTTTGACACAAGAGAGAGCACATAAGATGGCAGCCTGAAGGACAAGGAGCTGCGACCTGGACAGTCACCGCTGACTTGCCAAGCGGAGGCTCGAAACGCACGGTGAAGGTTGGGGGCCACCTGACAAACTCTTGGACAGGTCAAGGCTTGATATATTGACGTCGTACGTGCGTTATACAACTGATAATATCCTTCTAATTCTTTGGAAATTATACTTCTAGTGGGTTTTATTCACTATCCCACCAGATGAGATGATAGCCACAGTCCATAACTATAACCAATCATCATAAATTGATCCCGCGGGGGAAAGACACACTGTCTTGTCAACAGTTTTTCTTTTTTTTTGGCGAAGAGCATTATGGAGCATTATTGTCCCAACCATTATTGGGCCAAGGCAGAGCTTTTGCAATAGAATCATCTCATGGCGCACTATTAAACCAAGATGTCAAAAAAGGACTTTCACTTTAGATCTATTGCTTGTATGGTTCTAAAATCACTATTATCAATGCTAACCATTGGCATGTTCATGGTGTAACCCATTTTATGTGAGAATTAAGCAAGCGGGCCATTAAGGGAACATTAGTGGTTGATTAAAATACAGAAGATGTGATTTTCTTTTTGGGTGATTAGTGTACTAGACAAAATGCCAAACTGCTGCTACTTAGGAAGTGAGTTGAGTTAAGCTAACAGCCGCCATACAGCGTTAGCAAGTCAGACAAAAAAAATGACTGGGTGACGACTAAACTGAAAAACTTATGATTAAGGTCACTCCTATGTCATGAATGGTGACAGTTGGCAAAGATAAATGAACAAAGACACATTTTTCCTGAACAAATAATAATTATGAAATGGATAATATCGCGCAGCTCTAATGTGCCACGGCACAGGGGTCAGGAATCGCTTCTTAAGGGTCGATTTTGAGTTTGTGCATTACCGAGGTAACTGTCATCGTGTGTGTCTTCAGCGGCGGTGGTGTGTTTCTCTCCGGGAACTCGTCTCAGCACAGCTTTCAAAGAGTAGCCATTCAGTATCTCCGCTACGCCTGCTGTCATCACCTGCCCTGCACACACACAGAAAGATGTACGTCGTACAAGATTCTGCACATGGAATAATAAAACAAGCAGGGTGAGAATGTCGCATCTAGTTAGCACCGCGTACGTCGAGCTATCGCGACACGTCGGCGTCACCCCCGAGGGAAGGTAAAACCCATCATTAGTCGAGTCCAAAAACAGGAAACATATTCCTTATGTTCCTTAAACTTTCAAGAAAACATCTGTCTGTTTTTCACCGCAAGGGTTTATGATTTACGCTCGCAGAGATACAAACAACACCTTTGCTCTGCCATTGAGCAGCAGGTTAAACAAACAAAGCATTTTATCTACGGCTGTACTCAACCTTCCATAAATCCTCTTTATTGTGCACGTGTGCGCGCGTTTGGACTCAGGCAGAGGAAATGGCGCGCTCTTAACCCTCCTGTCAGCTCAACATTGCTTACTTGGACTGACTTTTATCTCCCAAAATAACACATCAACACATTAAACTCACCGTTAAATTTGGCACATTATTTTGTCATGGAGCACCTCTTACGCCAACTGACAAACTGACCATACACTCATTGGCCACCACATTAGGCACAATTTCTGAACTGCACAGTATCAGACTGACATGTGCTTATAATACATCGGTCTCAGGATGATACAGTGAATTTTTTCCCCACTAGAAACTACAGCCGAAATAATAAACAAATTGTTAAATGAATGCCTCCCCAGTGGTGTCAATCAAAACGGAGTGTTAGTATTTTCAACAGAATTTTTGAAACAGGCCTTGTATTGGATATCATGGGAGTGTACCTAAAGAAGTGTCCGGGGAGTATACATGGCTCCACTGCTGATGGTGATTGTTTCATATAATAGTCTATAAACCCCGGGCAAAGTGCTTTTATAAACATTAAGAGGAAGTATTTTAACTGGAGGCAGCCGGCCTTGCCGAGACGAGGGCACGGAGAGGGAGAAGTCCATTAGTGTAGTCTGTGGTGGCTTTTATATGCTAAGTAACAACGGCACCACTAACAAACAACAAGCCCGAATCACACACGTATGGTATCATGGTTTCTAGACAGCTTTTCCTGCCCTTTTTCTTAAATCTGTCCCAAAGTTGTTCAGGTGTATAGTTCTGGATGTGTTAACCAGTTAGTAGGATGTTGCAAAAATTGCAAAATCTGCAAAAGTTGAATCGAAGCTACTGGACTTTTCTTGGTTGTTGTAAACAAATGCCATGATGCAAAACTAAACGGATTTCTAAGATGTGTATGACTGAAAACCTACTTACTTACTAATTCATTTCCAGAAAAAAATTCATTCTCATTTCTTGTGATTCCCCACCCCTCCTCCATACACTGCAAACCAGCCTGTCAAATGTGGAGCAAAAAATTTTGTTTCAATTATTTATTTCCTCTTTTTTTGACATTTAAGTCTTGAAGGAACATTCCCACTGCCCAGGAATGCAAGTGTACGACATCGCATATTGTTTTTTTTTCCCGAGGAATTTATTTTTCTTCTCGCGAGCCAGGATAGAAAAATTCCCCATAATCATAACAGAAACAAACATTTTATGACCCCCGTCATTATCAACAAACTAAGGGACAAACAAACTCTGCGTACTATGATTATTATTATTATTTTTTTTTTGCTTTTGCAACACTCATTTTTTTTTCTTTTTCTCTCCATTTGAGTCACGGGGCAAATATTCCTCCTGCCCCGGCATACAACGCATCCACACACATCGTCTTGTCATCCTATGTAAGAAGGTAGCCAGCTAACTAAAGAGATAGATCGACAATCGAATCGATCAATCAATTGATTCGATCGACAATGGAATCATTCCCCTTGTGCCAATATGTTCAACCTTGACACTGTAGTCAAGCTTGCCTTTGTTCCACTTTGAAGAAATGATACGCCACCCGATGACACCAAGAGGAAATAAGAAATGAATGTGCATTTGCGGAATAGTGTTTTCCCTAATTTAGAATAAAGGAAGAGGAAAGGGGCCGACCCTGGAGAGCGCACCTGGAATAATGGGAGTACTGGCCCACTCGTACGGGTGATCTCCCCTTCTATGGCCTTTCGGCATTCTGCTCGGACTCCACATCCTGAAAGCAATCCATCGAGCAGGAAATGCATCTGCGCTGTCTAAATCCTTAACCCCGGCCCTCACCTCGCATCCCTCTCGCAGCCTTCTGCAACACGTTACTGTCATCTCCTTAATGACCCGCTATCAGCCCCCCACCCCCACCCCCTTGCCACCACCACCTTTCCTTCTCAGAGCCTCCTCCTCCTATGAGCTTTATCATGGAGCAGAGGGGCCGGCCCTCCACGCTCCATTACCCCCCCAAAATCAGCTCATTATGGAGCCCAAACACTCACTTCCTGTCACACTGTTACAGATGTGAAGTCGAAGGAGTAAAGGGAAAGGGGGAAAAAAATAATGAAGTAAAAGTCAGAATCTCCGTCATCTCGTGATGACACTGCTGATCTGGCAAGTGCGCCACTGTGTGTGTGTGTGTGGGGGGGGGGGCGGTAATGGCTGTTAAGTTCAACACCTTAATTCGTATGAATACCATTCTGTCTATATGCAGGAGAGCTCCTAAAAATCACGGTTGATTGCAGGGTTGCTGGTCCAGCTCTTATTTTTTTCCTGTGGAAAACAACCTGCTCATGGGTCAAACTTTTGCCACAGTATTTACTGTACTTGTTGAAGTCGTCTGTGACCACTGCCATAGTGGCGCAGTCCTCCCTCTTGCAGATCCGCTGGCTTGCACTCGGCTTGCGAAGGTACCAACAGGCGGTCTAAACCGCCTATGGGCAGAGTTACGCCGCACAGGGTTTTGACCAGTCATGAAAATGGAGTCCTTTGTCTGTAGGTGTGAATATGTGTGGGAATGCTTTGTTTTTGTGCCTTGCGATGGGATCGGCTCCAGCTCACCCGTGACACTGATGAGGATTGGCAGTATAGAAAGTGGATGAATGGATAATTCATGGATTCGAGTTCAAGCACATTTCAGGCCCTCATTAAATGTCTCTGTTGACATTCCAGTCACCTTTTGGGAACTTTATGGATGGATGTTTGGTTGAATTCAAACTCATTTGACTTCAAAGATTCCACTCCATCACTTTAGCGTATGCATAGTGTGTTACTGCATTTACCTTGCCAGTAAAAGCTTCCAGGGCCTCCTACCACCAGCCTTCCTTCCTGGAATAAATACAATTAACTTGTGGTCAGTCACGTGACAGGAACTTGCGAGTGCATGTGACTATTTGCGTGGCAACAAATGTGGTCCTGAGTGCATATATTTGCGCATACCCTGCTGTCATACATGGCGACAACTTTTGCAGAGTGAGAGCTTCCTGTACAGGAGGGCTACGTTGGATCGTGAGATGGAGGTTAAAGGTCCCGCTGACTTTACAGTGAAAGACCGCATATGTGTTTATTTAGACTATTGTGTTTGGAGGCGCATTTGGGACGAGCGGCTCCCCAGCAGATAAACAAGCTCCCAACTTTCACTATAAATCTCAAAAGGGAGGTGGTGTCCGCTTGAAACTTTAAGAAGGGGTGCGTTGCGATGCGTTCAGGGAGTCTTTGCCGGTGATGTGCATGTGTTGCATTCATTCATACCTTCGTGAAATCCACACTGAAGCCCGCCTGGCAGAACCCTTGCCCCTCTGGGTCCGGGTCATCTGCAAACCACACACACACACACACACACACACACACACACACACACACACACACACACACACACACACACACACACACACACACACACACACAATAGAGCATGAAGAGGCAGCATGTCATTTGTTTTAATCAGTGGAAGGGTTTGTTTTCTGGAGCCAAATGCTCATCTGACACCGGAGAGAATATTATATCAGATGAAACAGTTTAATCAATAATAAAAAAAAAGAAAAGAAAAACAATACGCTTGAAGGCGTGTTTTTATTAAAATAATATCGCCCAACTGCGCATGAAAATCAGAAGGACGGATTGTTCCCCATGTTGGAGGCACCCTGAGGTGAAGCTTGATGATGTGTAACAACGCAACGTATAAACATAACGTGATTTATGGGATGTAGGGAGGGTGCACGTTGGAGCGTTAGCGGAGGCGAAGAAATTGGACATATAAGAGGAAACTATAGCGCAGCTTTATGTCTCCCTGGGGGACGACATGGTTCACTGTGTTAAGTGGGGCTTTGTTTGCACTGGCGCATAGGCGCACACGACATCATGCATATCTGTGTGATGGCTGGAGGGTGCGCGTAAACGTAGGAGCGCGAATAGTCACGGATTTGTTTGCGGAGAGGCCGACAATAAAGGCCACATTTGATCTTTTGTTGATGATGTGCCTTTGTCCTTATCATGCTCATATCACCCTGCAGGGAGGGGTATGTGCAGCAGGAGCCTGGTTTTGAGGGCGGAAGGGTTAGGGTGCAAGGCAGGAAAATCCCTACAAGCCCATTAAGTTGACAGAAAAAAGACACAGATATACTATCAGCGGGGGAAAGACTTGAAAGTGAGACGTGAAGTAGCAGCTCCAGTGAGCTAGGCTGCAACCGGGAGGTTACATCGTGAGAAAGTAAGATCACGCGATTGTGTGGTTGTAGTTTGCGGTCCCGGTGTCCTAATAACAGCTATTTCTAATCATCAAAATGAAAAAGATGAGGCAGTGCAGTTGTACTGGAAAGCAAACTAACACAAAATAAATTAATGACTCAGATTGTAGCTTGTCTAAGTACCTACAGTATGTTTGTACAGAATCTCTTGCATGGAAAACAATTCGGATGGGATGACAATAGATTTTTGATGTTTTCATTTTGATGAACTACTGTATTTCAGGATGGTGGTATTCTTAGTGTTTTTAGGCAGTTTTGTTATTTGCAAAAGACTGACTTCGAACAACCAATTGAAAAATGGATACCTCTGCGACAACCAAAGTTAATTGAAACTTCATGGCGACCATAGCTGGAGGGTAGCCGAACTGACTATTGGTTCAATAGTTCTGAATAGCCCACTTAAGTAACATTAGATTTATTGTAGCTGGTTAGAAGGTCAAGTTTGACGATGCATTATAAAATGTATTATTAAATTAATGCCTCGCAAAATTATTTATCTCAAGGCAATTTGTATCGATCTTTGCATGTGTACCTTATGTTGTGGCCATTGAGTCCATGAACTACATTTGGATTCATATGGACAGCTGCGAAGGTCGAACAAAAAAAAAAAAAGGAAAAAAAAAGAAGGATAGGCGAGGTGAATAGGAAGCGGAGGAGGAATCGTAAAGTGACTCACTGGTCCGACATGGCGAGTATTCTGCGTAGGCACTGAAGTTCTGGACGGCCACGTAACAGGTACCCACGGGATCCATTTCCCCGCTCAGCTTCACCGTACGCCAGTGGTAGAGAGGAGCGCACGCCTGCACAACACATCATAAGTTTACTTTCTGAAAAACAACCTCAAAAGCAGGTAGAGGAGCAGAAAAAAAACAATTGAGAATATTTTCTACTGAGTTTTAATACAGATATTTTCAGACAAATGATAAATAATAAAGACAAAAATATATTTGAAAAAATGGTGAATAAAAAATGCAATGGTGTGGTCATACAATGTCTAAAATGTACCTTTTCATTACAGAAAAAAACATTTGTTTCTAAATACTTTTTTCCTCACTTTTTTTGAAAGTGCACTCAAATGTTACGCCAGTTTTCTTTCTTTGGGTATTTTCATAGATGAGTGCAGTTAGAAATGGGTCTTTGCGCTGTTGTGGGAGTGAACAGAGCTGACTTGATTCCCAGCCAATCAAAGCGGCACCTTGCATTGCCTTTAAATTCAGCACAGGTGAGAGGCGTGATCTACATGGCGCAAGCATAATGGACTCGCTCGCTGGAGCCCGTGCAGCAAATCGGCTCGCGCAAACTACGTTCATAAGGAACTGCAAGAAGATTCAGACGGTTCGATTCACGCCTTTATGAATAAAAAAACAATGACATCCATGACACATATCAGAAGAGTGCAGAATACGTCTGCCTGGACCTGGACCAAATCCACCAAAATCGTGTCACAACACATGCGCCACAACTTAGACCTGGTTTCACCCGGTCTAAATTCTAGTCTACTTTTTTATCACCAAATTGTGAGGTGCGGCGGGGGCGTGTCATAGAAAATGCCCAGTGAGACGTAACGTGGTCTGCCAAATTCCTAAACATGGTAAACTAGACATGCCCTGGCATGAAAATGAAGATGCGCCAGTTTTTACACTGAGCGCCCATGCACCTGTCTGCGGAAATAGAGAGAAGGATGTCATTCTCACAGAAAAAAAACTTCTCCTGTCGACTGAACATTTAAAGTCACAGAAGAAAGTAAGATCTTTGTTTAATCGGCAAAAGTCCAGCCTATTATTATTTTGAAAAGGCCTAATATGAGCCCAATATCATCGGCCTAAGTAATACACATAAATATTTTAATATACCACAACTAAAATATGTATTGTTTTTACTCCACCAGAAGTGGTTTATTATTGAATTCCAATGCACTGCACATTTTTTTTCTACTTTTAACCCCCGCCAGTAATTGTATAGTCATATATTTCATTATTATTATCACATTATAAACTGATACTCATATTACAGGACATGGATCTTGATTCCTTTTTACTGCAGCAGAGCTCTGACATCTATTATGTTCCTCGTTGCACAACGTTTGCCATTGTCTGGTGTGCCACTCAACCTGGTTTTTCTGCAACAATGACGATCAACATTCTATTCCAATTTTCCAAGGACAACTTACCACCACTTTGCCTTTGTGTGTCCTGACAGATGCTCCAAACCACTGATGGGATTTAAACTCCAAAGGTTCTCTGCTGCCATTTACCTTTATCATGCGGTTATCTAAAGAGAAGAATGAGCAAAAAAAAAAAAAGAGCAGAAATGTAGCAAAATCATTAGCGATGCCAGCAAAATGAACTTTGGCACTGACTCCATTTTTGGAGTCTTCGAGGATGAAAAGCATTTGTCCTGGATAAAACAAAGTCTTAAACAGACCAATAAATAAACACCAAAACAAAATTTGCTTCACAGAAACAGACGTTTTTCCGGATGCTAGTGTTCGTTTTTTTTTTAAGCTAGCTAATGCTGGTCTCATTAAATATAACAACACCTGGGAGACACAACATTACAACCATCTCCCTGCTGACTTCACTAAATTGTGTTAGGATGAGTGTAACGGTGTGTGCGTGTGTTTCTTTGTGGATATTTTCCAACATTATTGCAGCTGGGTTTCTAACCCAGCCGCTGGGGGTACATTGTTCCCCGGTGCCGGTCCCAAGCCCGGAAAAATGGGGAGGGTTGCGTCAGGAAGGGCATCCGGCGTAAAACTTTTGCCAGGACGGACATGCGAGTTGATAGGGCGGTTTGCAGGGACGGATGGGAATTAATGACTCGCTGTGGCGACCCCTGAAAAGGGACGTGCCGAAAGGAGAAGAAGAAGAAGAAGAATTGCAGCTGGGTTTCTTTCGGAATGTATACCCCCCCCCTCATTCGTTGTTAAACACCTTCCTTTAACACATGTTCACTCAAACTCGCACTTTGCATGTGCACATGCTGTGCGGACCGCTTCACAACAATGACTGACCGCGGTGAACATGCTCCATCCATCATCCAGTGACCTACTGATTGATTTTCCCTCAGATATCAACATAACGTTCTCATTTGTCACAGATTTTTTTTTTCTCCACGCTTCCAGGCTTAAATGAGACATTGATGCTATGTTGCGAATAGTCTGTCTCTGAATGTTTTGAAATGCCGTTCCAATACTAGTGTCGCGCTGAACGCATGGATGCTTGCCCAAAGCAATGGAGCCATCGCCGAGGTCCGATCCCAAAGCAGATGTCATGTTGGTCCTCTTTAGACCAGAAACCAGTTAGGACTGAATCAACAGCACCTCTTGTTGCCGAAGTCCTTTTCACAGAATTGTTAAGGATTTAGACATCCATTAAGTGCCCTTGGCTGGTGAGTACTCCAGGATGCACCCTGCCCCCTTTATACCCCAAACAATATATTTGGGGTACTGTATTTTAAAACACAATCCACAACAATTGAAAAGATTGCCTCCAATCCCAGTTTTAAAATCCATTCCTCCATCCATCCATCCATCCATCATTACGCGCATCAGAGTTGCCAAGAAGCGAAGAATAGAGTAATGCTTGAATTTGGGAGACCTGACCTCTGTCATGTTCTGTCCATTTTGTTTTGATTTTCAGCTGAGCGGTGGGCGTTTCCCGTCAGCTGCGCACCATTCTTGCATCGCAATCAAGCCACTATTTAAGGCCTCTCCTGCCGACAACTGTCAGATAATTCACCTTGCTCAAGCCATTGTTCAGATGCAATTTTCTAGAGGTTCCTGATCTTGCTCCGTTTTTTCGCGTTCCTTGTTTTTTGCTCTGCGCATTCTGGTGAGTAGTCATTTTGGTTTTGGGAAGTTATTCTCGGTTTGTATTTGTCATGAATTGTTTTTTTTTGCCCTTTACAGACAAGCTAATTTCATTTTTCCTCACTTTTGCAAGCCAGCGCCTTTTGTTTCTCTCATTTTATCCTGGTCTGTTTACCAGCGTCTTTATTTGTACTTTGTCAGCTTCACGCGTGTACATATTATCTGGGGCGGCCCAGTGATCCAGTGGTTAGCGCGTCAACCTCACAGTGCAGAGGTGCAGGGTTTGATTCCGGCTCCGGCCTCCCTGTGTGGAGTTTGCATGTTCTCCCCGTGCCTGCGTGGGTTTTCTCGGGGTACTCCGGTTTCCTCCCACATTCCAAAAACATGCCTGGCAGGCTGATTGAACACTCAATTCTTATGTCCATACAGTATATCTGTCCCACTACTCAGTTTCAGTCCTCCATCCGTCACGATGCTGACATGACACAACAAGTCTGCCTTTTGTCACTGCTCCCGCACAAACACGCACGCAGGTACGTACGCTTAACCAGGCGCATGTGAAATTGACGCGTGGATAATAACCAGCAAGACACACACAGATGTTTGCCACACTCGCCCTGGTTATTGTGTACATGTGTGCTTCTTCCCTTGTCTGGTTTGTACCTGTAATAAGGGGTCTGCTGTAACTCGAGAAAAATCCGCCATGGCCTCGATCATCAATCACAGAGTTGTGCACAAAGAGATGCATACGCTGGTGTTTACATTACTGCACACGTCCAAGCACACACTTGCTGCCTCTTGTGCTTTCAGAACATGGAATTAAGCCAGCAACACTTAACTCTAAACGCTAAACTTTTTGTGAAGAATTACCCAGAATTAGCGGAATAAAACCATCCCTTATCCATGCATCGATAAAATGCAATCAGGGAATTTCCATGAACCATGTGACCACTCATTTGCTCTCTAATGCTATTGCCTGTGCACGGTTTTGTGCAGAAGGTAGGAATAATAATTACGCCATCCATTATTATGAATAGTGTTGATGTTGGAAAATTCCCTCAAACCTCAGAACGCTGAAGCAGACGTGCCAACCATGACAGCGTCCTGCCCTGGTGTCAGGCAGGACAAAAAAAACAGCAGTAGTGATTCAGTGTCAACTAGTTTGCTGTCTAAACTCCGACATGCTCTGAAAACGAGAGGGACGGCGAAGCTTAGCAATATAGTGCTCAATAGAACTCTAGTATGGAAGCAAGAGTTCGGAGCATTCTCGCATACTTTGAATAATAATATGCACATATTTTGAATGAATTGATTGTTAATCTCAATCAATGAATTAATACAATAAGCATGAAAGTCAAATTCACATCCATAGTGCACGGTTGACCTCTACGAATGTCTTAAAGGGGAAGTCAAGTAAAAAAAAATTCTTTACGATAATATGTTCCGTGCTCCCCACTAGTCCAACCACGGTATTCTGTGGGAATCGAGCAGCAAAATCCCCCCGTTTTTACCCATCTCGGGAGGCGGCCATTTTGCCACTTGCTGTCGAGCGAAAAATGACATCCCCAGTTGCTCAGTGTTCAACAACAAAGCAAATGATGGCCTCCAACAGCGACACATATACCGTGTGTACCGTATGTAACGCGGGCTTTTGTTTCCATGTGCGCGGTCGTAGCTTTTCGTTACAAAGACTTCAAATGTGATGCTGCTCAGATGCTGATTTAAAGCCATTTCCTCCAAGCCAAGTAGGCATGAAAAAGTCATTTTTGCCCTCTCATTTTGGGGATGTTGAGTCATCTCAAAGAGAGAAAGAGAGAGGGGGCGGATTGATGGAGAAGGGGAGACAAGAGGAGGGCAAAGGAGACAGGGATACATTTTCAAGATGTAATGAAAAGCAGACCTCACCCAGTCCCCCTTCTTCTTTCTTCCGTAAGGGAACTAAATTCCCATGTGCATACAAAGCACCCCCCCCCCCCCCCCCCCCCCCCCCCCCCCCCCCCCCCCCCCCCCACACACACACACCCTCCCCTGCACTCCCCGCCTTTCTGCTGTTCTCACTTGTTCTGGAGTTTAACCTCCATCCACCGCACACAACATTAGAGATGGAGCAGAGGCTGATTGGATACTAAGCATATCAAACTATTCGGTCTTGCACCAGCAAACCTGCCAGCCGTCTTTTTGATAAAAGCCATATGTCTTATCGCTCTTGTTTTTTCCACGCAAACAACAACGCGCCGGCTCACATACAATTAACTCGTTGGTTCCAAATGAAACAAGTGAGGTCACTTTTTGCTTTAAAAGAGACATATGTGTACAATCTCCTTTCCGCGTACGATTCATTGAATGAAATATATTGAGACAGCTCTCACTTCAGAACAAAATAAAGGAGGGAACTCACTGGCATTGTCAAAGGGTATTTGTCTGCAGCTGTCAGGCAGGCCCGGCCAAGGGCAGTAGTAGACGGACCCGGCCTCCACAATGCCAGGTTGGGAGGTGTTGGCCTTGGGAGCACCTACCAACACGCTGAACCTGGGACACAAATGCATCTTTCAAGAAATGCAGGGTAAGAAAAGGCAATGCATGGGCCAAAAGATTTGTTTCCGTGAAAACAGAAGACATGACTCATGCATCTGTCACATTACAGTCTGCTACAGCATATTTGGAGATAATTGTTTGTTATGTATTAGAGGTGCATTGATTAACTAATAAATAATCTCATTAATTGATAAGTATTTTTGATCATCAATGGGTTGGTTAGAGACCTAAAACTGTCCACATCCTGAGAATTTTAGTCTCTTCACAGTAAATATTCTCAATTTCTTTAGTCCTCTATGAAAGCAGACAGATTATCATTGTATTGAATCCAAATAATATATATATATATATATATATATATATAT